CTCGGTCGACGCTCGCGACCTCGGTCGCACTCGGCCGTCTCCGTGCCCTGTGCTTTAGCCCTGTCGCTGTTCAGCCACGTTACTTCCCGGCGATCTCTCTCTCGACCGCTCATCACCGTCGATATATACGACAAAGAGACTCTTCCAACGAGAGACTCTCACTACGCTGCGGGCTCTTGCCGCGAAAAGCTGGCGAGCGATATTCTATCTACCGTTGCCGCGTAGAAAAGGAGGGAAGCAGCGCGCGAGGAGAAAGGATCAATAACAGATCTCTCCCTACTCTCGTAAAACGCAACGTAGAGCAAATGTGCGCGATGTACGCATGTATTTACACATAGATAGATAGATAGATAGATAGATAGATAGACAGACAGACAGGCAGACAGACAGACAGACGGGCGCACCCAGCACCCAATATCATAGCTCTTACTTTCCTAAAACAAATTTGTCTATGCGATCTTGTAATACAATTATAAGGCAAGTCATCAATGCGTATACGCCTCGTCTGGAGATATATAACGAAGCCAGAAAAATAACTCGTTTTAAATTCTTCAATTATGAAATATATTCCTCTTCCTGTTTCTGATCGAAAATCATTCTTCTCGTAAGAGTTTCATAAAATTTCACTTTTATGTCACCAATTTTGTCCTTTTTCATATATAAAAGGAAATCCTCTCATAATGTACAAGAATTCGCAATAAAACCAAAATAATTTTTAGATAGTATATCTAGCAAACACACATAACAAATATATCTCTCAAAAATATTAAGTTTCTAATTAATTGTTACACAGAATTAAATAAAATTGTACTGTCAAAATATTCATTCACTTTTATTTCCAACACCAATTTTATGACCAATTTTATCCTCAAGGTATCGCTTCATCATTATTTTATTAAAAAATGGTTTAAAAATCTTATAATGTATCTTTTACTCTATTTTGTATAATTTTTAGTTACCAGAAATCGAATCCTCCGTGTCCATCTATTGACAATGACCGATATTACTCCTAAGTTCTTTTCGAACTTATTACGAATAGAAAAAGAATATTTTTCAGAGCAACTTTAACTTCACAGAGAAATCAAAATTAAATGTTTTTAAATGATGAAAAAGAATTTTTTTAATATTTGATAGCGATCATCTATGTTGTTTGGACGATTATCCTGTAAAGATTTGGTCAAATCATAAAAGTAACGAATAATATAAATGTTATTTGAGATAACATTATCAATTACAAGCTGCATTTTGAAAAGCTCACATAAGAAATTTAAGCGTAATGTACCTTGAATTCTTTTATCCGCATAAATTATAACAAAAAATATTTAAAGATATTTAATTTAATTCTTTCAAAGAAATTAATGCAAGTATTTACACAAGTATGTTTTGTTTATTTACGCACAATAAAAATTATGAATTTATTTGTTATAGAAAATAAATAATTATAAAGAATTTTTCAACTCAGGTATATCCTTTGAAATGAATTTCACAAAAAATCTTATTTCTATAATGAATATATAAATGTATCTCTTTTATTAGCTTAAAAACACCCAATCATCTAATACCTAAAAATACTAGCCTTAGGCCGGATTTTCATAGTCAGTTCTTATATTTAAGATCGTTTTAAATAAGTTCACTCAACTATCCTATTGGTTGAAATATCATTTCAAGATCTTAAATATAAAAACTGATTATGAATACTGACCTTAAATGCATAGTCAAATCTTATAACCGTCTTAAGTATTGTCTTAAGAAGTTATCAATCATAAGGCAATCACATATTAACATATTAAAACATTAAGACGATCCTAAGAATCTAGACTATGAATATCGACTTTAAACTTTGTTTTAAATATTTTATCACCGACGAGATACTATTAAAAATCGACAACCGTGGGCAAATTTTCGTGTGCACTAATGGGGCCCCGGGGGCCCGGGGATAATCGAACATTGATATTATCGACCGTTTTGATTGTACCGAGGATAACAAAGAGAGGCTAACGTTCATTTATTACTGTTATCATGACGGATTTAATTTTAAATTAATCGTAATTCGTAAAAAGAACTATTTATTTAAAATTAAATCCAACATAATAAATAAATGTAATAAATAAATGTTTTCCTCCCTTTGTTATCCTCAGTAGAATCAAAACGGTCGATAATATCAACGTTTTTCAATTATCTCCGGGCCCCAAGAGCGTCACGTCAAGAACGGTCACGTCACTCCCGTAAGATTATCGGTCTCTTAGTATCTCGTCGGTGATTTTATATATAAATATATGAAGGTGTAACAGGCAATTCACAAATCTTCAATTTTTTAAAATTAAATTTGTCAAAAATCAAGAGTATGATAGAAACATATAAGACAGATATTCATTT